TGACTATGGTTTCCCACTATGGTTCCTACGCAATGACTATAAACAGTATTAAAAACTTTTTTTAAGTTGACTATGATTCCTACACAATGACTATAAACAAAAGTCAGAGTCAATCTTTATTCATATTGACTTATTCTTGAAGAAACTAATTTTTAGTCATGACTTATTGTATGTCACTGTCTCCCACATCACTAACCGAAAGGATTTGAAATTTTAATTTGTAATGAAGACGACGACAAAATCAAACAAAATATATTGTTTATAGAAAAGTGTTTAATTACATATGATTTTTCATATTTTGTATTTCTTTTATTGTCATAATAAAATGTTTATGTAAAAACAATTATATTTAAATTAAAATTTTAAAAAAGATTTGAAGGGGCAAACTCCCCCGTGCATAGCATGAAATGCTCACTAATAACAAAGTACACGGTACTATCAATGTATAAATATGATATGAAACTTGGTNAACTTGGTTCACAAAGTAACGGAAATTTTATTCCTCGAAGCGAACACGTTATATCTTTATCAACATAAATTGTTAGTGGTTAATGCAGAGAAAAATGGAAATTTACAATAACAAATTGGTGTACGTGGCTTTCAAGACACGAAAGCAACTGATAACCATACAACAGTGTACAGAAGTGTAATATTGATTCAGCATTACAAAACTGGAACCCATTCTTCAAATCCTGCACATTTACAAAACCTCTCAAAAATGCTGTATATAAAGTTGTTGGTCAACCCATAATAACCAGTGCACAACTCAGACTAATCATTCCAAATACCAGAAGTTTTGTATAATCTCCCACCTGAACTATTGAACTATAATACCACAAAAATCATCTCTCTTTCATCTTGATATTTAGATGTTTGTTGAACACAAAGGACATCTATACTGTTATTTGACCTAATTTACAGCAAACAACACAAAGGATACGTATACCTATAATTATATTCCTAGAGCAATGTCCGATACATAAATCATTTAAACAAATGCATTTTCAGCTTCTCTCATGCTTTCCACAAGCAGATTGAAATGCCTGAGAAATTCATGTTGATAACACAAACCAAACTCATACTAATTCTCAACTAACCGACATATTTCTCCTTCTCTTAAATAAACGCTGTGGTTGATTCATGATAGGAGTTGTCACTTGTGAAGGTAGTAATCCAAGCATTCAAGTTGGAACAGAGCAGAAAAAACTAACAATATCAAAATAGAATCTTTGTCGCACCAAAGTGAAACTTCTTTTCAGTCTCTCAAAATTACTTAATTTCATCCGGTGCTTGATGCAACAAATTCATTTAGAGAACCAATGTGAAACAAATGAGTGAATTACACATGGCGTAGGCTGGCTATGAAATAATACTGGACTTCATATTATATACCTTCTTTTTAGTCTCTGCATTGCTGTGGCCATCTCAAATTATTTTCTCTACATCGCTATTTATTTATGGTTCAGCAGTAGCATGCAGTTATTACGCATTTGCAGGTAAAATATATATATAAATTTTAACATTATGTTTATTATTCTTAGTATCATTCAATCAATGATAGTTGCTGAGTGAAGTCACATAATAATCCAGCATAAGAATGGCAGTTGAGACATATGGAATACCAATATCGGAGGTACTGGTATATTGAAGAAAGCTCTCTATGGATGATGCCTTTTTAAACAACAATTAATTCATGCAAAAACTGGAGAAGGTACATATATAGTCAATGTTGCAGAAGGGAACATAAATAATAATTTTACCAACTTACCTCATTCAAGATGTTATTCATCCCAAATATTTTAGCAAGACTCCGTCATTCCCTAGCACGAAGCCTTGTCTGTCATTAATAAACCTGCAGCACATCCCCTAACAATTACTGAAATGGAAAACAGATTCAAAAGCAGGAGATAACAGAATATTTATGTATTTGTGGTCATTCATCTCAATCCAAATGATACAAATGAATGAATTGGTCAACTTGTGGGTGAATGGAGCTCACTTTACAGAATACAGATTTGCAGCGATGTTGTCAGCTGCCTTGTCCCGACTCCAGCTCTTCCCACTGTCTGTAGTTTTCAACAGAATTCCACTGCCACCAGCAGCCCAGGCCTCCTCCTACAGTCACATCAGCAAGATGAATGAGAAAAGGTTTTTTCTTGAAGTCATCGTCTTGCTATAATGTGCTTAACTGAATTATAAACTTTATTATCTAGTTTGCTAAACTGAAACGTAAACTTTAATATCTATACTGAACTAAACTGAATTATGTACTTATTGATCTATCCAGAACTGTGCTGGCCACTTTTCCTTAGTAAGGACAAAAAGAGTGAGGAACAAGCAGAAAAACAATAAAATACTGTCAGCTATTTTCCCACTTTCTAGGCCCATCTCAACTTTCCTGTCTTTGTCACTAAAACAACAGCATTGACCGAGAGAAAGAGAGACAATGGCAACGAGGGAAAGAGAGGGAGACCATTTTTGCACCATTGCTATGTTCACAAATAACATTTGACACCCTAAACGGCAATACCCTTATGCTAAAAAACATTATATCTGATACTCAAAGGTTTTGGTTCACTTGTATGCAGATGCAGAAAGATGCAGAAATGGAAATATTAGAAAGATTAAGACCAGTAAATGTAAGTATGTCGGGAAAACTAGTGGCGCATGATCATGCAAATAATTTGGGAGGAATCAAAGACGAATATTTGAAGGAATTCCCTTGAATGAAGTATTAACTAGATATTCAAAGTTCAGATACAGAACAAGTGATAGAATTGTCCACAAGACTTGGTATCATCTGCTATAACAACCAGACATGTCTTGCACAATGTACCGAACATTACTAAGGAGTTTATCCAGTATGATTAGTGCTTCCGAGTTTGAGAACTACCAAGAAACTTATTCGACAAAAACAAATGATGGACTAAGTCACATAGTTAGTGAAGTGTCACTTTTAAGCTGAAAATTGCTTGACAAAAATATTAACAAGGCAGCTGAATCTTCTATGGAGTGCCTAAAGGTTATCCTCTGACGGCTAAAGAATCATACCAGATATGCAGTCGAGATGCAAAATGTGGAAAAACGAAAGAAGGAAAGCAACGGATGTAAAATATATCCTACTCTGGTTACTGAAAATTTCTGCATTGAGGTAGGATTTAACAAAATCGTCACAAATAAACCCTACGAGTTATATAATCATTCTTGTTTATATAAATATTCATATTCACCAGGTCCGGAAGTAGTACTGATCTATAAATGTCCAGAGGTTTAGAGTGAGGAAACATAGGGCAAATCTGAAAGGTAGAAGATATATTCATGCGTTTGAACTTTGAACAATAATAATAAAGCCTAGATATGGTTACAAGCTTGGGTTAAATTACAGTCTTCTTATTTTGCAACCATCACAATGCAATTTGCAATGGTCAGTGATTACTTACTTTCTTAAATGCTGAAGAAACAGTTAAAATTACCACCACGTTAAAGATTCACATATACCTGGGAGCGGTATCCAACATCAAGAATCCCAAATCCACGACTCTGCACAGGTATTTCCTCAAACTCCTCCGATATCTGAAAAATATTGGGAGTGAATATTGCATTACAAATAGAATGAACAATATATCAACTGACCTATAATTCGAAGAATGTCGCCAACTTACCCCTGTGCCCTTGCTGAGGTATAGCCCACCACCACGCACGAGAAGCCAAAGACCACCATCAGCTCTCCAGCCCATATTTTGGATTCTTCTTGCTACAGCCCTGTTATGTGGTTGCCAGAATGCCTGAGATAATTCTTTCACATAAGTTTTCTCGACTTCACAAGACATTAGAAAGAGAAACTTGAAAACTTAAACTGCACGATTAAGAAAATAAAGGAAAACAGACCTTGTTATGATAAATTCAACAAAGGGGCTTACTTGCGACAACTACCCATATTTATAGCAACTAGCAAACTTTCTTAAACTGCACCATTAAGAAAATAAAGGACAACCGATCTTGTTATGATCAATTTAACAAAGTGGTTTACTCGCGACAACTTTCGATATAACAGCAACTAGATAACTTTCTTAAACTTCACCATTAAGAAAATAAAGGACAACGGATCTTGTTATGATAACTTCAACGAAGTGGCTTACTCGCAAAAACTACCAATATAAAAAGTGCTGCATTTTGCATTTTCCAAAGTTGTGTTCAAAAAAATCTGGGAATCTCACCTGACCTGGTTCCCATGTCAAGTAGAAGTTACCACGGCTTGAAACAGCCACATAGTTTCCTTCAGGTGATCGGTTCACTGTACTAAAGGTGCCTGTGTAGTAGCTTGCACCACTAATACCACTAGAAACTGTTCTGCAACAGCATTGTTGAAGAAAAAATAAATTTTTGTTTACAAGTGAATTGCACACTAAGAAAACTGAATCACAAAACCACTACAAAAGTTTCTCTGAAGCATTAATTATGCAGAAGGTAACTCAACATTGGTGCAGACAAGATTAGACATTGAACTATAGTACATCATCACTGGTCCCTCGAGAAGGTAAAGTCGGGCGCTTTTTTCTCCCAGTGAATAAGGGTGGAAAAGGAAGAAAACACTTAATAATTTTAGGAAGAGTGACACAAACACAATAAACACACAATAAAACAGCTGGAACTGAGAAGGGATGTAAAGTTGCAAACCATGGCAACAAACAAGATGCAGTACATATAGTATTTCAAATCCCAAAAGCACATTTGTCAAAATTACATTATAGGAAGTAGAAATGCAATATCTTGTTATAGTGAAAAAGAAGAAGCCACATTTGGTGTAATATCTGGGATATACAGGAAAGCATTCTCGTGGATCGTTTTCGAGGAAGTGGATATTCTGAAAACATCGAACGTGAAATGTATCTAGAATGTTTATAGGGAAAATGGCATGATGAATTTCTAAGAGATTTCAGCAAAAGGTATCGTGGCAATGTTATTTTGTAACTAATTTTATTACCCAATTTAGATGTCTTGTCAAGTCTTAAAACGATGGAAGAAATAAACCAAACATAGCATCAGTTTATCATGTCTCTGTGCTACACATGACATTTATGCCTTTTCATCAATTTGGCTTTAAATTTCACGTATGTGTAACATAAATAAATAAGATAAAATATTTAATTTTATTTTTATTCATTTTACTTTGATACGATATACTTATAGTATTTTAAAGTATAACATTTCACAGTTTTTATTTACAAATTTAACTTAATGTTTAAGTTAGTGTTTGTAACATTATGTTACCGATATTTTGATAATTATTTTTTATTGACTAATTGACATAATAGTTCAACAAACAACTCGTTAGTTACTCCTTTTAGTATTACATACATAATAATTGGAATAGTTTTTTACACCCACTTTACATTTATTTTTAAGCATAAAGTTTCAAACCACCACGACACCGGTACAAAATATTAGGCATGGTATTTTATGCCAACAATTTGCATAATGACTTGTTGGGCTACCTCTAGGCCGCAGGGTGTTGTGGTCCTCCGTAGGTGGTTGATTAAGAGCTAGTTAGCTCTTTGGTTGTATCTTGGATATTTATTTTGTGTTATGAGTATTGCCCATCGTTCCNAACCCTTAGGACGTTCTTTTTTATAAATAGGTATTTAGAGATAAGTATTAGCTTAATTTATATCGAAGAAAAATAAGATTAATTTGATATATTCTTTATAAAAAAACGGGTATTCATACTAATAGATCTATAAATTGGTATTTATAGACAAGTATTAGTTTAATTTATATCGAACAAAAAGAAGATTATTTTGATATATTATTTATAAAAAAACAGGTAACAAATGAAAATATTATAACTTTTTATGAAAAGAAGATATGAATATTATATTTGAAATACAAGAAAAGAAAAAAAAATAAATGGCATAAATATTTAACTCAAAAAAATTGAAAGAAAAAAAAATAATAAAAAATGAGATATAGATATTTAACTAATATAGTGGAATAAATTTATATATTAAATTTTAATGTAGATGTAATCAAAAAGAAAAATAAAAAATACAAATTTTCAATTTTAGTATACAAAAAGAGCGGTAAAAACGTATGCTAAAATTAGCCTGCCTTATTCTTATTACATATATGGATGTGTTCATACATCTACACAATTGCTCAAGTATTTATGCGTTCATACATTTAAATATTCTGCATAGAGATTTAAAGGAGACAACCCTAGCGGTTTTAGGCTAGCCTAGCCGACTTCAGGTTAAAGGGTGGGGCAAAAAAAATCTTATATTAATGAGATACGAAAATGCAAACCTAACCTAATGCTAACACGCTTTAGGCTAAACTGGTCATCTATAAAAAAATAATAATAATAAAATTAAAAAATAATTTACTAATGTAAATGTAAATAATTAAATTTAAACATACACAACAATTAATTTTAAATAGCTATATTTCATTTTAGTTAAATTGCATTAATAACGCAATATTATTATAGTTTTATAAAATAATATTGACATATAATAAATGTTTCCCATTATATACCAAAAAATGATCACTTCTATTCACACTTACGAAAAATATAAAATATAATATGGCAATAATTATCAAAATAAAAGAGCTAATTGAGTATTATAAAAATGAACAAAATAAATAATATTATTTTTGTCCTATAACAAGTAATAAGTATAGGTGTTCAATCGTATATTAACTAGTGTGTAGACCATGCGACGCACAAGAAAATCATAACAAAATATTACATAGATGTACGGTTATCAATGTAACATAAAAATACTATTTTCATAAGTATAATTGATTAAAATGTATATACTATTTAAAAAAAAAATCATGACTTTAAGTATTCGAGAAAAATATATGTTATGTGCAATCAATAGATTTTAGAAATTTTATAAATAGTATATTTTCAATTTTAGAAATTTTATAAATAATATATTTCTATTTTTAGCACGTGCTTAAACATTGGTATCTCTTTATGTTAATAAAGATTAAAACCAGCTAGCAGGCTACCCAGTTATGGCTAGCCTTAACTTGCTCGGGATAAACGATCAAGGGAAAAAAAATCCTGGATTTAAATGGGCTGTAATATAGATGACCCAAATCTATTTTTTTTTTTTTTTTNTTTTAGATATATGGGCATGGCCCAATGAACATCTATACCTTTTGGCAAATCCCTCCTCTAGATTGCACAACAGACCAAGCATACATAGTAGGATAGCAAATCTAGGCAAGACCATCACTCAGAAAGTAAAGTAGTTGAGATACTGCCGACTCACCGATTCAGGGTAGCTGAAACAGTCTCCTGGACAGCAGCCTTCCAGTTGTATCCTCCATTTGATGTTACATATATTGCACCTTGATCAGTTACCATTTCTGCACCCTTTTCTCCAGTGGCTTTTATATACACCTGCAATGATCAATAACAAATTTCTTGCTTATTTAATTAAAAGTACTGGGTGTATATCCTTGTCATTAACTTCTACCAACAACTTATTTTGGATACATAAAATATTTACCAAACTAACAAGAAAAATTAACGGATAAAGGAGGTGACCAACATTTCTCTAACTTTACATGAACTTAATGAATTAATGGCAGAAAACCTATAAGCCCTCATAAAAAAGATAGACAGAGGATATCAACTAATAAGAAAACGTAATAAGAGTGTAAATCTAGTAAAAAGATTTATGACATGTCACCATATCACCAGGAAGTTGAGCACTTAGTGGTATGCGCTGCCAAGTATCTCCAGCATCCGCAGTATATAACAGAATAGCCGGTTTGCCGATAATCCACCCTTCCTTGCCCTTGAAGCTGATAGAGTTGAATCTATAATTGAAATCTTCATCTTCGGCGGACGGTATGGAACGTGGAGTCCAAGTGCTCCCTCCATCTTTTGTCTCCAAGATAGTTTGCCTCGTCCCCAATACAAAACCTGTCAAAACTCGACATTGTTAGGCTTTATCTGAATGTATCATCAGAAAGCTTTATCTGTAAGAAGTGTCTCAGTTCACAAATGAAAGTGCAAACTCCAAATTCCAACAATGCAAGACTCAAACAAATTAACAATTTAACCGAGTGACACATCAATTACTTGAGCAATTACTATAATAAACTCCTTTCAATAAAAACAATAATTGAATAAAATAAAAAGGAAGAAATTATGAAAAAGGAAACCATGGGATGGGTCGTCGGGGACGAAGGCTATGTCCAGAAGGACAACGCCAGGGTCAATAGGCAGGTAAACTCTTTCCCACTCAGAGAGGGGCTCGTCGGCGGCCAATGCCTTTTTTCCCAGTGGCGATAGTGTAATGGCGGCGGCAGCGACGGCATGGAGGCCTATCAATCCGCGGCGGCCAATTGGATTCCCTGGCGCCGGAGGAGGAGACTCGCGGGCGGCAGAAGCGGACGGGAGCAGCGAACGGCGTCGGAAACTGGAGGAGTGAGATTTAGGGGGCGATGGTGTGATAATGGAGGATGAGGAATGCGAGAGGGTGAGCTGCTGAATTGCGGCCATAGGCAATCGCTCTCTCACTAGATTACACACAGTACACACACTGCGCTAACTTCTTATCCGAACTCTGATTTCGTAATTCAGTTGTTTTGATTTATTTATTTGTTTTCGTTTTTCTTATTTTTTTCAACATTTGCTCCACGTCCCCAAATTCCCTGTGGCCATGTGGATACGTTTGGATTAATAATTTGAATTCCGTTTATTTTGATTTTAAAATACAAATTTCCTACATTTTGTACTCTTCTCTCTACTTGCGTTTCTCCCAAAACTAAAACTTCCTCTTCTTCATCTGCTTCAGCCGCGCCGCGCCTCCTTGCCTCTACGCCGCGAAGATGACCGACTCTTAGGCAATCTCAAGGCCACTTTCAATTTTCGGTCAAAGCTCGCGGAGCGGTTCGCCTCCTCGGTGGGCAGCCTTCGTAAGGTAGGCCGGTGATTGGTGGTTGGTGTTGGTTTCGTGAATGCCGTTTGTCACCATTTTGGTGGCCGGTGCTAGATCCGGCAGTGTTACCTCTCTTGGAGTTGTCCGTTCCCCTTAGGTGCGGTTGGCCGGTCTCCTCCAGCGGCTTGGGGAGCTCCCTGTGGGTCTTTTGATTTTTGGATGTTGGTGTGGTTGTTGTCGGATTTGTGTCAGGAGAGGTGATATTGACGGGTCCCGAAGCGGTTTCCTAGGGGTGGCTCGCGAGAAAGTTGGATTCGGATTTTCTGATTCGGATCGAGTTAGCCTTAGCCTTCTGAGCGTCGGAGTTTGGAGTTTCGAGGCTTGTGTCGGTGGTTTGATCCTGCTTTTTCAGGCTATCTTTCATTGGGTAGGGTGTTCGTTTCTGATCAATAGTAAGGAGGCTTTATTCTATTGTATAGTTTAGGTGTGGGGTTGTTGTTTTTTGCTTGTTTTTCTTCTTGTTTTTGTGTTTCACTTCAGCTGTGTTTGGATTTTAGTCTCTTTTATGGAGTTTTATGTCTCATTTGTGGAGTTTCTGTTTTGTTTGCGGGTGCTTGTACCCCCTTCAGTGCTTGTGTAATTCCAAAGGGGGTTGGTCCAGACTTTGTTCTGGTTCCAGTTGTGTCATTTGACACCTCCGGTGTACTATTTTTTAATTTTTCAGCTTATAATATATTTATCGTTTTGAAAAAAGAAAGTACAAATTTTCTACTTTCAAATACTTGAAATGGATTTCAAACTCCTTTAGTGGATTTGTAGAAATTGATGTGTTGTTGCATTATAGACGTCGAAATTTTAATATTTTATTAATTAGAGTCTTTATTTATTTTTGAACATAAATTCAAGATAAATAAGATATTCAATTAATAAAGTAAATATTTCTTGCCCAACAAGTCAAATCTTATGATAAGGACAAATCTTAGGATAAGGAAAGAAATTATATCAAATCTTGATGAACCAATCAAATTGAAGTCTTCTTCTACAAGACTCTCTCTCATACACCTATAAATAGCACTCTCCTCAATGCCACAAATCATACACCTCAAAAATCAAAGTCTCAAATTCAATAGCTCTCAAGAATCCTTTTGAAGATTTGAAAAAGTTCTTGAAGATCCAAGGCGTTCAAGTTGAAGGTCGGCGTTCAACCCACAACCAAGCATTCGAACTGCCGAAGTAGTTCAAGGAAAAAGAAGGCCAAGAAGAAGAAAAAGAGGCGGTGGCTCTTCCCCAAGAAGTAAAGAGACGACTTCCACTCCTCTAAAATCAATCCAAGAATATCAACGACATTCAAGCGATATTCAAACCGCGTTGTGGAAAAGTTCAACCAACATAGCGTTTGATCCGGGAAAAAGCTATCAAGCCCTCGAGTCAACGTTATTCAAGTCAAAATCTCTCCTTCAAGAAGATCAAAGAAACAAGTTCTCCAAGAAGTCTTCTTCAATCAAGTCAAGTCCTAACATTTAATACGGGAATAAGTCATTCGATCCCCAAATTAATGTTAGAGAAATTCAAGATCACGCCCGAAGGAGATTCAATCGTCAAATTCATCTATCAAGATCTCAAGCCCAAATCCATGAAGAGAAGAATCAGAGGAGATAAATAGAGATTGTACCCGCAATAAAATAGATCAAGTTGTACAAAAGTTTTATGTTTTTCATAAAATTTGTTGTTACATGCATCTCAAACTATCTCCCCAAAGTCCCTCGATCAATATGCTCTTTGGAGACCACCAAAGACGCCGAGAGGTGTTCTCGGCATTAAACCTCCAACGATCAAGTCAGTCATGTGATATAGAAAACTGTATGAAAATATACTGAAAGCTTAGAGTATATGAAGTGTGATTAATCTTTACCTTCTCCAAACTTTACCTATTTATAGAAGATTACTGGCTTCCTGGACAAGCCTCTGCCTGATTGCCCCAACAGCGTAAAGGGGTTGCCTGTCGGTTGCTAGACTACCCGTAGGTCTGTCGTCAGTTATTTGGTTCTACTCTCGTCTGTCCAATTATCTATCTCTTTTATTTGTGACCCTGCACGTGTCCTTCGTTAACAGCTTGGACTCAACCTACTATGTTGGCTAATCCATTTCCTATTTGAGTTAGTTACCATATCATCATGTCTGAGCTATCACATGGCCGAGCTCTTTAATGTTCGAGCTCCTTAATGTCCAAACTCATAATATACCTAAGTTGTCCGAGTTCTTCTAATGTCCGACCTCCTTAATGTCTGAGCTACGAATATACCTAGGTTGCCCGAGCTCTTTTAATGTCCGAGCTCCTTAATGTTTGAGTTACGAATATACTTTAAGCTGCCCAAGCTCTTTTAATGTCCAAGCTCCTTAATTGTCCGAACTATGGATATGCCTAAGCTGCACAAGCTACCTGAGTCCCCATACTGTTGAATCAATCAACCTGGCTAGTCTTCAACCGACATATCAAGTTGGCCACGGTTGGTTCAGACGAGCTTTCTTTATGTGCTATATCATCTAGCCTCCTATTATCAAACTAAGACTGAGCCTGGGACTCGGAGAATTCCGAACCGTTCCGAAAATCGAATCGAAATCACTCTTAACCGAAAAATAACCGGTGACCATTTGACTTTCTCTGAACCGAACCGAATCGAAAAAATAGTTGCTACGGTTTTGGAGATTTCACAAATATCCGTACCGAGAACCCGTCTCATACCGTACCGAACCAAGAACCGAAATCAAGAACAGAATTATAAAAATAGATGTGTGTTATTAATATATTTATGTCAACTTTGATCATATATAATTTGAAAATTTTAAAATGTAAATAAAATATAGTAATGACAATTAAGCTCCAATTAATTTCATACTTAGTAATACTTGATCTGCAATTGAATTTTTCATGTTTAAGAAAAATAAAATAGAATGAAAGGTTAAAGAAATATTATTTTAATAAAAAAATATTTTATCTTTTGTTTGAATTTTAAATTTTCAATGTTAGTTGCGCAAAGATAGAGTTAACTAAAATTGATTTAAAAATAAAATCTTTAGTATGATGAAGTATTGATGAATGTTGGATTTAAAAAAATCTATAAAATTTAAATATAACTAAGTGGCCATTAAAAAAAAGTAAAAATAATTGAAAATCTTCAAATATCCAAACCGAACCAAACCGAACCGAACCGTTCCGATAGTCTCGAATACCGAACCGAACCGAATCTTCGAAATTTAGTAATCTTCACCACGTGTATTCGTGCAAGGACTCTTCTTTTGAGGATGTGACAACTTGGACGGTTGTTTTATCAGCTTCATCGGTTCGGCGTTCACATGTATGAGAGATCGCAAATCTTCCAGGGGAAGACATGGAGAGAGATCGACAAGAGTCTTTAGCTGTCGATAATGGAGAATAGGCAGACTCGACCACTGCTGTTTTTTGGGCTGTTCGTGTTCTTCATGGACTTTGTGTAAACCCAATTATATGTCTGGCTTCGTCTTAATAAGTCAGACTTCACTTTAAGGAAATTGGGTACAACATAATAAATAATAAAATATTTATTGATAGTTAAAATATTTGATATATTTTATTGAAAAATATACTATAATGATTGATTTAATTTTTTCTATTTGATACAAAAATTGTATAGAA